AGTAGGGATACCGAGTGATGTCTGGGGCCAGAGTTGGATATTGTCCTAATAGCAGCTTTGTGTTGAGTAATTAGAGGACATAAATGATTTTGGGTAGTAGAGCCCCAAGCACAAATACCATAGTTGAGATATGGATAGATAAGGGAGTACAGTAATAGAGAGTCACCAGGGCAGGGCGGGGTACATAATATCTGATCTTAAAAAGAATGCCAACAGTTTTTGAAACTTTTTTTGATATATTTAGAATGTGTCCCTGGAAATTCAGCTTGTGGTCAATGAGAATGCCAAGGAATTTGCCATCTAATTTGTTACAAATTTGGGTATTGTTTATTTTGAGATTTATTTGATTAGAGGATTTATTGCCAAACAGAATATAGAAAGTTTTCTCAATGTTAAGGGTGAGTTTGTTGGCAGTTAGCCAAAGATGGACTTTATTTAGCTCAGTATTTACTGTGTTTACTGTATTTACTATTTACTGATATATACTGTATATATATATATATATATATATATATATATATATATATATATATATATATATATATATATATATATATATATATATATATATATATATATATATATATATATATATATATGTAGTACCTAGTAGCCAGAACGCACTTCTCAGCCTACTATGCAAGGCCCGATTTGCCTAATAAGCCAAGTTTCCCTGAATTAATATATTTTCTCTAATTTTTTTCTTATGAAATGATAAAGCTACCCATTTCATTATGTATGAGGTCAATTTTTTTTTATTGGAGTTAAAATTAACGTAGATATATGACCGAACCTAACCAACCCTACCTAACCTAACCTAATCTATCTTTAAAGGTTAGGTTAGGTTAGGTTGCCGAAAAAGTTAGGTTAGGTTAGGTTAGGTAGGTTAGGTAGTCGAAAAACAATTAATTCATGAAAACTTGGCTTATTAGGCAAATCGAGCCTTGCATAGTAGGCTGAGAAGTGCGTTCTGGCTACTAGGTACGACATATATATATAATATATATATATATATATATATATATATATATATATATATATATATGTCGTACCTAATAGCCAGAACGCACTTCTCAGCCTACTATTCAAGGCCCGATTTGCCTAATAAGCCAAGTTTTCATGAATTAATGTTTTTTCGTCTACCTAACCTACCTAACCTAACCTAACCTAGCTTTTTTTGGCTACCTAACCTAACCTTACCTATAAATATAGGTTAGGTTAGGTTAGGTAGGGTTGGTTAGGTTCGGTCATATATCTACGTTAATTTTAACTCCAATAAAAAAAAATTGACCTCATACATAGAGAAAAGGGTGGCTTTATCATTTCATAAGAAAAAAATTATAGTAAATATATTATTTCAGGAAAACTTGGCTTATTAGGCAAATCGGGCCATGAATAGTAGGCTGAGAAGTGAGTTCTGGCTACTAGGTACGACATATATATATATATATATATATATATATGTCGTACCTAATAGCCAGAACGCACTTTTCAGCCAACTATGCATGGCCATATTTGCCTAATAAGCCAAGTTTTCATGAATTAATGTTTTTTTGACTACCTAACTTACCTAACCTAACCTAACTTTTTCTGCTACCTAACCTAACCTAACCGATAGAGATAGGTTAGGTTAGGTTAGGTAGGGTTGGTTAGGTTCGGTCATATATCTACGTTAATTTTAACTCCAATAAAAAAAAATTGACCTCATACATAATGAAATGGGTAGCTTTATCATTTCATAAGAAAAAAATTAGAAAAAATATATTAATTCAGGAAAACTTGGATTATTAGGCAAATCGGGCCTTGCATAGTAGGCTGAGAAGTGTGTTCTGGCTATTAGGTACGACATATATATATATATGTCGTACCTAGTAGCCAGAACGCACTTCTTGGCCTACTATGCAAGGCCCGATTTGCCTAATAAGCCAATTTTTTATGAATTAATATATTTTCTCTAATTTTTTTCTTCTGAAATGATAAAGCTACCAATTTCATTATGTATGAGGTCAATTTTTGTTTATTGAAGTTGAAATTAACGTAGATATATGACCGAACCTAACCAACCCTACCTAACCTAACCTAACCTATCTTTATAGGTTAGGTTCGGTTAGGTAGCAGAAAAAGTTAGGTTAGGTTAGGTTAGGTAGGTTAGGTAGTCGAAAAAACATTAATTCATGAAAACTTGGCTTAGTAGGCAAATCGGGCCTTGAATAGTAGGCTGAGAAGTGCGTTCTGGCTACTAGGTACGACATATATATATATATATATATATATATATATGTCGTACCTAGTAGCCAGAACGCACTTCTCAGCCTACTATGCAAGGCCCGATTTGCCTAATAAGCCAAGTTTTCTTGAATTCATATATTTTCTCTAATTTTTTTATTATGAAATGATAAAGCTACCCATTTCATTATGTATGAGGTCAATTTCTTTTTATTGGAGTTAAAATTAACGTATATATTTGACCGAACCTAACCAACCCTACCTAACCTAACCTAACCTATCTCTATAGGTTAGGTTAGGTTAGGTAGCCGAAAAAGTTAGGTTAGGTTAGGTTAGGTAGGTTAGGTAGTCGAAAAACAATTAATTCATGAAAACTTGGCTTATTAGGCAAATTGGGCCTTGCATAGTAGGCTGAGAAGTGCGTTCTGGCTACTAGGTACGACATATATATATATATATATAATATAATATATATATATATGTCGTACCTAGTAGCCAGAACTCACTTTTTGGCCTACTATTCAAGGCCCGATTTGCCTTATAAGCCAAGTTTTCCTGAATTAATATATTTTTTCTAATTTTTTTCTTATGAAATGATAAAGCTACCTATTTCATTATGTATGAGGTCAATTTTTTTTATTGGAGTTAAAATTAACGTAGATATATGACCGAACCTAACCAACCCTACCTAACCTAACCTAACCTATATTTATAGGTAAGGTTAGGTTAGGTAGCCAAAAAAAGCTAGGTTAGGTTAGGTTAGGTAGGTTAGGTAGACGAAAAAACATTAATTCATGAAAACTTGGCTTATTAGGCAAATCGGGCCTTGAATAGTAGGCTGAGAAGTGCGTTCTGGCTATTAGGTACGACATATATATATATATATATATATATATATATATATATATATATATATGTCGTACCTAGTAGCCAGAACGCACTTCTCAGCCTACAATTCAGGGCCCGATTTGCCTAATAAGCCAAGTTTTCCCGAATTAATATATTTTCTCAAATTTTTTTCTTATGAAATGATAAAGCTACCCATTTCATTATGTATGAGGTCAATTTTTTTTTATTGGAGTTAAAATTAACGTAGATATATGACCGAACCTAACCAACCCTACCTAACCTAACCTAACCTAACCTATCTTTATGGGTTAGGTTAGGTTAGGTAGCCGAAAAAGCTAGGTTAGGTTAGGTTAGGTAGGTTAGGTAGTCGAAAAACAATTAATTCATGAAAACTTGGCTTATTAGGCAAATCGGGCCTTGCATAGTAGGCTGAGAAGTGCGTTCTGGCTACTAGGTACGACATATATATATATATATATATATATATATATATATATATATATATATATATATATGAGACAGATCACGAAGGAATGATTAAGACAGGAATTTTCTTAAGTACTTTCATATTTAATAATACATCTTCAGAAGGATGGATTTACAGATCAGTAGATTGAATATATAGACAGGAAAGAAGTGAGGTGAGGGTCAATGTCTTTAATGAGATTTAGGGATTAGTGGATAAATGTGTATCAATGATCCTACTCAAATCGCCTTTTAACTGATCAATCGCCCTTTAACTGATAATATTGATACATTTCTTATCAGTTAAAGAGCAATTTTATGGTAATGTATGGTTCTTGTCATTATGTCCCTAATTCTTGTCATCATCGTTTGTAAAAATAAGATCTAGAGTGTTTTCTTTTCTACTTGGTTCTACTATTTGCTGATTTACTGCAAATCTGTCACATCTCTGCAACTATGTGTCAACTGTTCATTTAAACTGCTTCCTGGTATTCTCTCTGGTATAACTTTATTTGCCACATTTTTCCAATTTAGGTGCCGTAAGTTGAAGTCACCAACATGATATGATGATGTTTGGGACAAAATTTGTGAGTTTTTCTAAGCAGTATTCTATTTTCATAATTTGGTCTTTAAACTGCGGATTTGCATCTGGTGATTTATATACAAAGACTATCACCACAATTAGAATTTCTATTTTGATTATCAGCATTTCCACCATATTGTTTGTGGTGTTTAGCAGTTGTGTAGATGAGGGTGTCTTTGATGACTGATGATTTTTGATTGACTCCAGTAGCCTCTTTCCTACCTTATCTGAAAAGATAGAATTCTGGAATCCATATTTGTCGTACAGGTCTTTTGTATAAGTTTCAGTTAACGCTGCAAACATTGCAGTTACCTCATTTAGAAGACCAGTTATAACGTGAACTTTGTTTTGGGAGTTTTAATACCTTGTATATTGGCAAATAGAAAAGATGTTATCATATTTGTGGAAGTGCTAGGTATTTTACTTGGTGTTAATATCTGTGATTCCAGTTGGGGAGCCACATTCTCTGTCCAGGTTCATGCTTTGTTTGAGTGTCTGGGTTTATACGTAATGCAATCTGTGATGGCTCTTTGTTGAAAGATTTAGGACGAGATTTTACAGATCCCGGTTATTGTTCAGTCATTTCGTTAACTGCTTCTAATATTTTTCTCTTTGGCCGCTTTGTGCATAGGTTAGCTGTATATCATCCTTGCACTATCCTATATCCTCCTCCCATTTTTTCTGACGAAAGCTCTTTTCTCCCTTGAATTTTCTTGTCTAACTTATCATTTTAACTAACATCTATATATTTGATTTAATTTCAAGAGTTAAAATGCCTCTAGGAGTTTTCCAAGACTGTATATATATGTATGGCATGAAAAGTATCTAACACCTTCAAACAAAAGCTCTTACTTCTATGCAGAGGAATACACACAGGTTCTATGTCAAATATAATTTTATTCAACAAAAGTATACACAGAGTTGCCACAAATAATACTAGGGATATATATTGAATTACACTGGAATTATATTGACATTATTTAGTCCCAGTTATAATTCTAAGCAGAATGAACATTAAAACATAACAATTAATTTTTAAATATTGTAATACAGTATAAAAATACTAATTAATTTAAGTTTAAAAACAGGTAAAAACAAATAACAATTAAGATACAATATAATTAAGACAGCGTGTAGTTGCCATGAAAATTAGTTACTCTGGCAGCTTGCCAAAGGCTACTTCAACGAGTCGATGAAACCATTACTGCATCGTAGACACTGTTCATAGCATTTCTCAAAACCTTTATCATCATCATCCTATAGAAAGAAGACATTTTACATTTATTACAACATTGGCATTAAATAATTATTATTACCAATATTCCCTAAGAGATGAATCATAGAATGCCTTCATACTATGCAGTTTCAAGCTACAAAATATTCAACTGCAGAAGAGCCAGAATAAGTATTACAACTTTTCATATAATTTAATTACCTGTACTGTTTATGAAAAGGCTGTGATATTCTATCTGGCCCCTCATTTAACACCAAATGCATTATCTGAATACATTATTTAATATAAAATTTGTGTGGATGCATGCATGTGTCAGAACACTGTTGTACATTATTTAAGCACAAGCTTTTTATATTGTTTTTGCTTTTACCCAAATCCTCTCTATTTTTTTATGATCAAATGTTTTGCCTCCCTCTTCGTGGATGTGAAAGACAAGGTCAAAATTATATTAGTGAAATTTGCACAAAAAATATCTTGACTTTTTAAAGTCAGAGAGCAATTAACAATTGGATCACTAGATTCTGGGAGATGATTAAATTGACCTGTGAAGTGTCTTACAATACTAGTATTATAGCACTTATATTAGAGTTAATGTAAATAATCCATTGCTTGGAATGGCAACAAAAGTGCCAAACATGTGATGTTACCATGATTAGTTACTATCTTCCACAAATGTTGCTACTTTGTTTAATAAATCAGAAAATAGAGTATTGTGGTAAATAATTTGATGTGTGCAAGTGGAAAGAGTAAATGATCAATATAATTAAAATTGATTCTTATAAAAACTGTTCTGAATATTAGCCTAGATTCGGTGACTTTTTTTAAATTTGAAACTAACCTAAAATTATCATGAGAAAACACTGGTGACATGCCATCACAGAAACATTGGTCCGGTTGTCCTATAAAGATATCTTCAAGGTCTATGAATGATCTAAAATGTTCATGGAGAGTACCCTTCATGTTACAGCAAGGGTAGACCTTGAAGAGGTCTTCCTCAAATGACCAGACCGATGTTTCTGTGATAGGGTGTCATCAGTGTTTCCCCTTCGGAACTGTGTACAATACTTCCTCATGTCAACTTGGCTAGGCAGGAGGCCTGGTCGACGACCGGGCCGCGGGGACGCTAAGCCCCGGAAGCCCCTCAAGGTAGGTAACCAAGGTAGGCTACACCCAACAATTAACTTATTTCCTGACTTTGGTGGCCTGCTTCCTTTTCTTCCTTTAAAGAAACCTAAGAAATGGTTTCTTTGTTTATTAATTTGGTGGTGCCATATGAACAATATAATACCACCAACACCACTGTAATAAAACACGGCAAGATGCCAGTGAGATGCACAATACAGTACAATCACTCACTAAGAATGCCCAAGTGCAACTAAGCATCCCAGTTATGTGGCTCCATGGAGGTAGAGCACACCATGACCTCAAGTACTTAGTGCACACTTCTGTCTAAAATCTTTCAACCACAAGGCCATCATTCTTTTTTTGCCATAAGTAATTATCAAAAGGCACCAAACCGGGAAGGCTATGTAGCACCATCAAATACGCAAAATAATCAGAGGGCGCTAAATATCACCAAGGATGCCAATATGAGAACAAAAACACATAAGGCGAACGATATCAAAAGTATCCGAGTCACCAAGAATTCTATCGAGGGACAGGTGACCGCGAGGGGCGGTCGGAAAGCAAGACACACGCTCGTCCTGGAAGTCAGGACATTCAAGAAGGACATGCACGACCATAAGAGGGACAATGCAACTAGGACAATAAGGAGCAGGGCGGCGCTCCATCAAGTGACCATGGGTTAAGCGAGTATGGCCAATACGCAACCTCGCCAGAGCTGTTTCCCACCACCGGTTACGGTGGAAGGAGGATGGCCACGAGGAAACACAACATTTAAGAGTACTGTACGTAGCTTGTTACCAGTAACAGACAACCAAGAAGCCTGCCAACGGGTAAGGACTGAGGAATGGATAACCAAGTAAAAGTCGGAATACGGAATGCCTTTACGAGAGATGGGACAAGAGCAGACAGCTTCCTTGGCGGCAGCATCCGCACGCTCATTTAAAGACACACCAATATGGCTGGGAACCCAACAAAACTCAACCGACTTAAATTTACTGTGAACAAGAAACAGCCAATGCTGGATCTCGACAACTACTGGATGAACCGGATTAAAGGACCCGAGAGCCATGAGGGCACTACGAGAGTCAACAATAACTACAAAGGAAGACTGACAACGAGAAAGCAGGAGACGAAGAGCATAGAGAATAGCATAAAGTTCCGCTGTAAAGATGCTAGTCTCCGGAGGCAAGCGACACATATAAGTGCGATTAGGAAAAACAACAGAGTAGCCAACACCGCCCGCTGACTTAGACCCATCGGTGAAGACAGAAACGGAGCGGGAGTGAGAAGAAAAGTGCTCGAGGAAAAGGCGTTTTAGAACCGTAGGAGGGGTAAAAGCTTGTGATACGGGTCAAGGATGTACAAAACCGCGGAAGAGGGACCCTCCACGGGGGCAAAGAAGGAACAACACGAGGAGAAACATCAGAAATACGAACGGAAAGAGAATCCTGTAGGCGAGATAACCGGACAGAAAGAGGGAGGTGGTGAAGAGGAACAGGAACCGCAGGAGGGGTAAAAGTTAAAGCACGACAGAGGCGAGAGGAAGGATGTTGCAAGGACCGCGCAAGATAGCGAAGACAGTAGCGATCACGGCGGTCCTGGAGAGACAGGAAGCCAGTGTCAACATACAAGCTAAGGATGGGAGTCGAACGAAAGGCACCAGAACTGAGGCGCAACCCAGTATGGTGCAAAGCATCAAGACGGCGAAGAGTAGAAGGAGAAGCAGACGAGTAAGCAGGGCAACCATAATCGAGCTTAGACAGGACGAGAGAGGAATGTAAAGCAAGGAGAGTGCGCCTATCTGCCCCCCAAGAAGTATGGGACAAGACCCGAAGGAGGGTAAGGGCCTTAGAGCACTCAACACGGAGGTAAGAGATATGGGGAGACCAAGACAAACGAGTGTCAAGGAATAACCCCAAAAGCTTCGCGGAATCTTTGTATTCAAGGTGATGACCATAAAGTGACAAAGAGGGACGAAGAACAACCCGTTTCCGCGTAAAAGTCATGGCACAAGTCTTAGAAGTAGAGAACTTGAAGCCATGATCTGTGGCCCAAGACGACACGGCATCAATTGCAAGTTGAAGCCGGCGTTGAAGGAGAGGCGAATCATCACCCTGACAACAAAGGGTAAGATCATCGACATAGAGAGCGGAGAAGACACCAGAAGGAAGAGAGGAAAGAAGACCATTGAGGGCAACCAGAAAGAGAGTAGTGCTCAGAACACTACCCTGGGGCACACCTTCGTATTGCTGAAAAGAGGGAGAGAGAGCGGTACCAAGGCGCACCCGAAAGGAACGACGAGAGAGGAAGCTGCGGAGAAAGAGAGGGAGATGGCCACGAAGGCCAAAAGAATGAAGTTGAGATAGGATATGATAACGCCAAGTGGTGTCGTAAGCCTTTTCCAGGTCAAAAAGGACGGCAACAACGGAGGTCTTCGCAGCAAAAGCAGTACGAATATAGACCTCCAAGTTCACCAGGACATCTGTTGTGCTGCGGCACTTGCGGAAACCAAATTGAGAAGGGGAGAGGAGGTGATGGCGTTCCAGGAACCACATCAGACAAACGTTAACCATACGTTCAAAGAGTTTGCAGACACAACTTGTGAGAGCAATAGGGCGAAAGTCCTTAGGGGAAGTACCCAGAGACCCCGGTTTGCGAACAGGGAGGACAACGGCATCGAGCCAGTCCTCAGGGACTGACGACTCCCAGATCCGATTATACAGACTCAGTAAATACTGAGACGTGCTCGGAGGGAGATGGCGAAGCATCTCATAATGAATACCATCGGAGCCCGCCGCCGTAGAACCGCAGAGGGCCAGGGCAGAACGAAGTTCAGAGAGAGAGAGAAGGGATCATTATAGGGAAGCTGAAGATGAGTGCAGAAATCTAAAGGACGAGACTCAAGGACAGGTTTACGAAGAAGGAAAGATTGGGGAAGATGAAGACCAGAGCTAACAGAAGAAAAGTGGGAACCCAGTTCGGAAGCGACCTGCAACGGGTCCGCCACAAGAGTATCATGGAGGTGAAAGACCGGTGAAACATCGGGAACGAACTTACCCGCTATCTTGCGGATACGCTTCCAGATCTGGGCCAGAGGGGTTTCGGATGTAAGTGTTGAGACATAAGATGCCCAACATTCACGTTTAGCCGTACGGATGGCCCTACGGGCCACCGCACTCGCTTTCCGAAAGAAAAGAATCGGTCGTCTGCCTACGGCGGTGCCTCTTCCAGGCTGCACGCTTACAGCGGACAGCCCGAGCACAGTCCGCATTCCACCAGGGAACGCACTTCCGTGGACCCCGAGAGGAAGAGCGAGGAATAGAGCGGAGGGCAGCGTTGAAGACAGTGTCATGAAAAAGGAGGAGAGCGCGAGAGAGAGGCAGAGGGGAGAGGTCAGAGAGAGCAGCACTGAGGGTAAATAGGGTCCAGTCTGCCTTAGCAAACTGCCACCTAGGGAAAGAGAGGGAAGGGCGAAAAGAGAAAAAGGAAACAAGGATGGGGAAATGATCACTTCCATGGAGGTCATCAAGAACCTGCCACGTGAAATCTAAGTAAAGAGAAGAAGAGCAGAGAGAAAGATCAAGACAAGAAAGGGTGCGAGTCCGAGAGTCCAAATGAGTGGGCTCACCAGAATTCACTAGAGACAGGGAAGAAGAGAGGAGAAACGGCTCAAGGAGGCGACCCCGGGTATTCGTCAGAACGTCACCCCAAAGAGAATGACGACAATTGAAGTCACCCAGCAGGAGCACAGGCTCCGGCAAGGAGTCTAGGAGGTGTTTCAAATCAGGAAGAGAGAGCGGGACACTCGGAGGGAGATAAATGGAACAAACTGTGTACCAATTCCCCACAAAGATACGAGCAGCAGAACAATGGAGAGGCGAAGGAAAAAGTAAAGGAA